ATATTAAATATAATATTATGGACAAAAAATTTCTTTTTAACATATGTATACATATAATTAATAATATATGTAATACAAAAAGGAACATATTAGCCACTAACAATTTTATGAAAAAAAATAAGAATAATCTTTATTAATGCAACATGAAACTTATTATCTTTATGTAAATTTATATAAATTTATGACTGATGTCATTCATTTTAGATAATAAATGAATAAAATATTCATATAAAGTTTTACATCATTATATAATATTTTTCTTAAATTTCGATTCTCTCTAAATAAGTACGAGGTGTGTACAAAAAAATTCATGCACTGAATTTTATTCTGCCGACTTCTCCAACCGCTCACAGGAAAGTAGATGGGGTAGATGAGAAATAAACATAAAAGTCCTTTATTGTTTAACGATATTCGTAATGATCGAGATATTAATGTTTGCAATTGTATTAATGAGAGCGCGCCGAAATAGAAATGCTTGAAGTATAGCTAAGCAACGGTACGCTTCCTCTCTTAAACCGGTTCTACATTAATTGCAAGCTGATCGCAAGTTTGTTACGACAGCCAATCTGAAGCTTGCATTTTGAAATCAACGTTTCATATTGGCTGTCATAACAAATTTGCGATTGGCTTGCAACTAATGTAGAAGGCTTTACTTCTCCAACGCGCAGCCTATTGAAAAAAATGGACTAGGCTATACTTCGAACGGCCGGAACGTTTCTATTGGCGCGCTCTTATTAATACAATTGCAAACATTAATATCTCGATTATTATTATTACGAATATCGCTAAACGATAAAGGACTTTTATGTTTATTTCGATCCCATCTACCTTTTTGTGGACAGTTGGAGAAATCTCATGGGACACCTTGTATATCCAGTTATTTCTTAATTTCATCGATTTTAATTCAAAAGTATAAATATAGTGGAAATAAACATCACGATCTAATTCCATCATGGTCAAAACAACGAAATAAATGTATACATGTGTATTATAAAAATTGTCAGTTCCCGAACAAAATGTCAAAATAACATAAAGTTATCGAATTAATGATATAAATTATTAATGATATAAATTAAAAGTTGTAAGTTCAAATATCATAAAATTTTATTTGTTTGATGATATATTCACATACGTCAACAATAAATTCTTAGACGTTTTTTCAAAGATATTTATTTACGAGACAATTTTATTATATAACATAACAAATTTTACATAGATATAACATTTTTCCTTAGTTTATTTTGTACATGTATGTTCGATTAGAATATTTTAACAAAGCTTATTTTGTATTCAGATGGAAGTGATTCCGATAACTCCGCAGATGCTACGTACAATCATAAAAGAATTACAAAAACGTCAATTATTTGTTAAATTAAAAAATTTAAGGGATCATATACAGAGACATTATCCAGTTGAAACCGATTTAGAAACTCTCGAGCAAGAATTACAAGAAAAACTGAAGTATGCTGTTTGCGTTGGATTGATCGCTAAATATGGAGATGACCAATATTGTATACCAACTTTACGAGAAGAGGCTAATGCTGCTAAAACAGCGATCAGTGCATTCTGGGAAATGTACAAAAACGTAATACAATACGTTCGAGTTCTTTTATGTCAACTTTATTTTTTATGCAACAAAGTGCAGTTAACCAATAAAGATCTTTTTATTAATTTAGAATTATCAGTTGCTTAATAAGAGAAAGAAAAAATCAGATATCAAAAGATCGCTATTACATCAGAAACAAAACAAATATATAAATTCTTCTAAGAATTCCTCTAACGATGAAACTGATAGCAGTGAGGATTCAGATTTTTTCTGATCTATTTTTTTTAGACATGTTTTTATATACGTTTTATATGATACAAAATTTTATATATATATA